AGTCATGACTGAAAGAACCACGAGGAAGCGCCAAGCTGGGGTCGAGGGGAAGCTGCTACATCCGTGTTAAATTAGCAGTGGCGGCTGGCTTCCTGTGAGCATGCAGGTGAGAGTCCACTGCAGGGGTGCGTTGTCATTAGGCCAGATGTTGTCCCAAGTGGAAAGAATAGATCCGCTACAACAGCTAAGGGAGTTTTAGGACATAATCGCCCTTTTGAGCTTTACAGATACACGGTAGCATGCAAAGGGCCTTTCTCTTGCTTTGTGCTGCGCTCACTTGTAAAATGACTTGGAATTTTTGATGCAGGTTGAATTAGGGTTTTTTTTTTACCGTTAATTAATTAACTTATTTATTTACTTTACAGTCTGATCACTGCCACTCCCTCCTTCATCCCAGCCCCACCCTCACATCCCCTCCCCTTCTGAATTAGTTTTAAAACCAGCTTTTTTTATTTTTTTTTAAGAGAAATGAGGTGATTATAGATGAGTCTTATCAAAAGAAATATCTTTAGTTGGGTGATATTAGAAGGGTGTGCTTTGTGTTGTGTGTCCTTTCTTTAAAGAAAAAACACACACATTGTTTTCTCTTTTGCACCTTTGTCTGTCCCACCGGATACCACCAGGCATCCCTGACCATCTCCATTATTCATGTAGGGCCTCTCCAAGGCTTCGTAAGAATTCTGGGTCAGAAAGGTTTATTTCAGGGTGAAATAGAGCTTGGGGATATATGGGCCTCCTCTGGTTTGTCTCTGTCTCGCCATCTCCACTCTCCGCCATTCCATTTCTCTGCTCCTCCAGCCTCCTTCCAGCTCAGGTCTGGCCAATTTCAACTCATTTCTCCCCGCACCCATCCCCCATCTCTCGGTCAGCTGAGCCTTTTCCATAATCATAAAGTATCACCTAGAGGGCGGCACTAAAGCAAAAATCATAATATAAAGTCTCTGTCCCTTGAGGCTGGGCAAAGAGATAGCAAAGATGGTGGTTCAGTACCTGGTAGCCAGGACTGAGTTCAGTGTGCAGCACGCACGAACACACACACGCACACGCGCGCGTCCATGCTTGTCTAAAACGTGCTCCTTAAACTTCTGCTTAACCCGACCTCAAGCGTGTAGTTTGAGGGTATCTAACAGAGCAAAGTGGCTGCAGTCAACAGACCTCCCCTTTTGTCTCCTCGGAACACAGGAGACAAATACCTCCTCTTAGGTATTTTTAAATCTGAGAGCACCAGAGAGAGATTATGTCCCGAGTTCCTGCAGCTCTTCGTATTCTACCCGGGCACCCCAAGATTTGAGCGTGATGAAGTCACTTATTCTTGGTTCGCTGTACCCGGACGTTCTCCTGATGTGCGCAGATGGCTTAAACCAGCTCCTGTGAACTAGTCAAAATTTTCTTCTGGGAACTAGATGCTCTGAAAAATTGCGTCACATTTATACTTAGTTTCTTTTGTTGTTGTTGTTTTTTAGTGTTTTGTGTTTTTGTTGTTGTTTTTTGAGACAGGGTTTCTCTGTGTAGCCTTGGCTGTCCTGAACTCACTTTGTAGACCAGGCTGGTTTAGAACTCACAGAGACCCCCCTGTCTCTGCCACCCGAGTGCTGGGATTAAAGGCGTGCACCGCTTGGTTCTTTAACCTCTTCCTTCCATCAAGTGACCCGTTTTCGTTGTCTTCTGACTGTGTATCTGCATCCAAGCAGCCATTTTACTGCATACAGTCCCAGCTCTGTGACTGTATATCCACTGTTACACAGTGGCTCTGTATAACTCAAACCAAACCATATCTGCCAGATGACATACCAGATTTCTCCAGAGTGGTGGTGACACACCTTCTGACCTGGACCCTGAATTGCTCTATCAGGGAGGTTTCAGTCTCCACAACGGACATCATCTTAAGTGTTCACAGAAAAGGGGCTGTAGCTAAGACCCTGCTTGCTTGCACTTGCCACTAAAGGAAGCGAGAGCTAATTCAGAGATGGCACATTTCATTCTGTAGGCCAAGTCTGGCCGATAGAGATGATTCTGGTAGCAGAATAGAGGGCCCTCTGCCCTCTGCTGGAGCACCGGCGGTATAATGAACATTTTTTTTTTTCCCTGAGATGTCACAGATAGAAGATGTCAGGATAAAAGAGAGTCAAACACCCAGGCACTAAGGACCTGGGCCCCTGTGTAGCTGAAGGTGGCACTGGGCCGTGGCTTTGAGAACCAGTGCTGAACCGCCCTGTCCAAAACTCGTGTGTTGAAAATATCTTTACCGTCAGCTATTAGGAAGCGGCTCCCTCACATGTGTTAGGAAAGACAAGCCAGAGGGGTGCCTTCTCTTTCCACTGGGTCTCAAGGAAGCAAGAAGGTAGCCATGCCATTTTATGAAGCAGGAAGTGGGCTCTCACCTTCTTCCCATCCTCCCAGACCAAGAGGAGTCCGTTGCTGATGCTTCTATGACCTTTCCCTGGCTTAGGAGATTTTGTACTAGCTGCCTGAACTAAGACACAGCCCGTAGAACAAGAGATTAATAGACTTTAGGCCTTTGTCTACTGGAAGCATCCATTAAAGATGCGTCCATTCTTCAGGCCTGTTTTGCTTTCTTCTCGATAGCTGTAGCCAGTGTATTGGTATTAAGCAGTGTCGTGCTAATGTGGCCACCCATGTTGGTGAGAGGTGATGCAGCTAGGACAGTCACATGGCCACATAATCAGCTCACCGGTTTAGCTGATACTCCTTCCTCTCTGTGTGTACACTTAGCTGGCCTGACACCTGTGACACCCGAGCCATTTAAAACATGTTTAATAATAAGGAGGGTCTGTTATGCATTCCTGATCCTCATAATGTCATTTAGACTCTGTTTTTATAATTTCATTCTTTACTCTGATATTAAGCAAACATTTGGGTGAAAAGAAAGATTAAAAAAAAATGTGTGTATTTGGTACTTTAGAATAATAAAAACTAAGTATGAACAAAAGATGGTCCCAAGTTGGGGGTACTTAAGAATCATTTTTTTTAGTCTATTTGAAAATTGTAAAGGAACTCCTTATACTGAGTAGTAGTTTCTAAACAACAGACATTGGCTGTGCACTGATCTTGGGGCTGAGAAGCCTAAGGGCAAGATGCCAGCAGGTCCCTGCCTGGTGTAGATTGTCTGCTTCCAAATGCCATCTTCTTGATGCCTCCACCCAAGGTGGAGGGGACAGGGCGCATCTTTCCACCAGTCCCGTTCATGAAGACGGAGCCCCGACCCACAGCTCCACCTCTTCACAGTGTTGCCTGACACCCACATTCAAACCATAGCAGCTGCCAGCGAGGGCGTGTGCAGAGAGCTCCTCCACAGCACCTTCCGTGAGCCAGTGGGGTGGGCTGTATTGCTCCTTGTTGAAGTAGAACCAGGAATGTAAAGGCTCGTAGGCAGTCGGGAAGCAGTCTGATGACAGGACCCCACAGCACCGGCTTTGAAATGCCGCGACTATGAGGTACCCCTCCCAGAGTCCCACACTGCTTCTCCCCAGCGACTTACCTGCAGAGAACTGAGCCAAGAGAACATTAGAAAGGAAAATTAATGTGTTTTGACATGGCCGTGAGGTGCGAAGCTCAGGCCTTAGGGCAGAGCAGAGCTGGTTGGAATTGCAAGCCTGCTGTTCTTTTGGTTAAATCGTGTAGCACCTGTTGATTCTGTACCCTCATCTAGAATGATGATGGTAATGGCATTTCACTGCTCCTGGAGTGTCTTTGTACGGGGAGCGTCAGGAGACTCGCTAGATACAACATTCGCACTCTGTAAAAGATAGCTGCTAAGAGTCCGATTGATTTGTTGTTAGCTTTACTGCACGTTTTCTATTTTACTTTACTATTTTCTGAGACCTGTGTGAGGGCTAGGAAGGTAGCTGCCTCAGTAATGGAATGCCTGCTTCTTACGTGTGTGGCCCTGGGTTCGTTGCCAGCAACATACACACACACACACACACACACACACACACTATATATATATATATATATATATATATATATATATATATATATATATGCTAAGGAATATAATTCTTGGTAATAATCATAAATTTTTAAATAGATTAATACTAGTAGAGCCAGTTGTTATAGTGGTTTGGCACTAGGAAGGCTGAGGCAGGAGAACAGTGAGTTTGAGGCTACCTTGAGACCACATAATGAATTCCAAGCCAGAGTGGGGCTTTGGAGTGAGGCTCTGACTCAAAAATAAACAAAAATTAAACGAGAAAGAAGAAGAAGAAGAAACCCACCAAACAAGGAGTAGAGAAAGATTTACTTGCATGCTATGGGTGTAAACAAAAAAGCAAAACAGTAGCTGTGGGTCAATTAGGGGAAAGTATTAGGATGAGACTTTTGGGGAAACCTAGAAAGGTCCCCACCCTCAAAGGACTGTTTGGTCTACTTGGGGAAACCCCAGAAGGGTCACAAAGGGAGCTTATTTCATTGCCAGTGGCACGGCTCCTGTAGATAAGGAAGGCTTCAAATTCAGAAGAGGGCACAGTTGCCTCTGGTCGCCTGCCGGTTAGCAACGGTGCCACCAAGAGAAAGGAAAGGGGCATAATTAAGAAAATGGACCCAGCAGGGGCACGCCACAGGCTCCAGGACAAATGGGAGAGGAGCTCCCGTGGAAGGACTGTGAAAGTGTGGTGTGAGGGGTGCTCCGAGGACAGCCTGGAGGCCCCCACATACCTTCAGTAAGAGGCTCAGGCCACCCTACTTTTCCAAGTTAAACTGAACCTTAAGACCTGGGCAGTAGGCAGACCATGGTGGCTTTCTTGTTGCAGTGGCTGCAAACAGGATAGCTGGTTATGAAAGTCAGGTGCCACAGCCAACAGGAGGGTCCCTGTTGTAAGTGGAATGCATGGAAGCCTTCCTTGACCAGAGCAGAATGGTCATGCTTCTTCCTCCCACCAGTAAAGAGTATTTTGCTTTCTGCTGAACAATAACGACAAATGACTGGAATGTAACTTCAGGAAATGCCTGGTTTTGAGATGTTATCTTTATTCTTTCAGGCCCCTTTTTCGTGGAAGTTCAGATGTGGATCAACTAGGAAAAATCTTGGAGTAAGTAGTAATGATAATCCTCCAGCACACGAAACCTTTACAATGGTTTTCCTCTGATGTTCTTGTCTCTCTATCTTTCTTGCCCCAAGCTGCTGCCGCAGACAGTCTTACTAGGTGTGTGGTGAGTGGGAATGAGGTAGAAGGGCTGTCTCGCTCGGGGCCTGTCACCGTGCGAAGCCTCCCCGCTGTGCTCTGAATGCTTGCCTGTTGCCTGGGTGGGTCTTTCCTGCTTCTCTGTGCCTGGCTGAGCTTTGAGCACCAGCTCCATAGTGCAGATGTGTTGTCTGCTTGTGGTCATATCAAATTTACCCCTCCTAAAAGATGGGGCGCTTGGAGGCTTAGGACCCCAGCCTGTCCAGATAGACATCCTGTTCCCATTGGGAATCCTTGCCTGTTGGTTTTGCATCGCATTCCCCAGCCAAGGATAAAACGCCAGCCAGTCACATTTCCCCTCATAACACCAAAATGGGCATGAGAACCCCAGGTTCTCACCTGAGTCTGTAGCCGAGTAACTAGGAGAGGCAGTCACACGAAGCGCCACAGAGTGGGCTTTACCGCTCCATGCCGCAGCTCCTAAGTGCCGAAGTAACCTTTTTTTTTTTTTTCTTCTTTAACTTTTTCACCTGAGAAAAGGAAGGGAGTTCAGTTTCTCCGTGCAGCCTGTTCTCCAGCCCACTCGTCGTTAGCTGTTGTTTATTCCGTTGCTCCGCGGTGATTTGCACTCATCATTCATGCCTACATGTTTGTGCATGTGAAGGTGTGCATGCTTTCATGTCGCTAGAGTGTAACTGGGCTTTTCTTCTCACAAGGCGTGCTGGGTGGCATCCTTTTCGGATGTGTGGTTTTGCCGAGCCGCACCCCTAGAGAGGTAGGATGGAAAGAGCATAGGGGACCTGGCTAGAAGTCACCACCGTCGTCGGTTGGTGACATGAATTTTTGTGAATCTCAGTCTCAAGCGATTCTTGTGGAATTTAAAATTTATGAGACTGCCCTTCCCCGCACACACCAGAAAGAAGTGTGTCTACAGAATTATCTGTTTACGCATGATTGCTTCAAACCTGGAAATCTCCCCAAAGCTGAGGTTCTCTTGGGAACTGGAAGCTGCTCCCAGTGCTTTGAAGCTGAAAGAACATCCGCTGGCTTTGATTTGTGTGTTGGGAAGGTAGTTTATTTTGTTATTGTTGTTTTGGTTCGGTCTGGGCTGGTCTTGTCTGAGGACTTCCCGGGTCCGGGCAGTCGCCAGTACCTCCTCTCCTGATGATTATCCTATAAAATGGATGCATTCTCCACTAAGCTTTTCTGTTACCCTGCCTATGCATGTCAAGCTCCCATCAGTCACTGCTGGACTGGTATTTTTCCCTGAGACTGTGGAATGTGTCCTGTGTGCATGTGATCTTCAAGGGGGACCTGGGAAAGTAAATGTTCTGGAATCCTCCTATTGAAAGGAAAGGCAATCTTGATGGCATCTGCCTGCTGGGCCCTGGAGGCCGTCACCTGCTCCCCCTTTTTAATACCTCATGGGATTCCCAGCCACCTCCAGCTCAGTCTTAGGGCCTGTAGCACTTCCTGTACTCTTAGACCACAGAGCCAATGAAGTAGGCCAGAAGGGACATTTGGCTTGTCCCGTGGGAAAGCCTGTTCGACTTTTGGCCAAAGCCTGGCACTCCCACGTGGCCAGCTGGAAAGCCTTGGATGTTTGTGGCCTTTAGGGTATTCTTCTTGATTTCTGGCTTTGCTTCATGACTCTGACCTCCTTCTCAACAGAAAAGGGACAATGCTGCACTCTAGTGTCACTTCTAAACTGCTTGGAAAATTATTTCCACCCCATCCACAGCCCTGTCGCTCTTTCCAATGTAAAAGTCAACTTTTACAGCTTCTATTCAGCTGTCCAAATAGTGAAACATGATGCAGGCCTTTTCGAATGGACCTGCCATGATTTCATGATGCTCAGTAAGGGCCATGATAGTCCTTATTGGACACGAAGCTGAATTTTTTTTTTTAAAGGAAAATCACATTCTCATACTCTCAATAGGTAATCATACATAATCACATAATCATACTCTCAATAGGTAAGCTGTAGACACATTTCTACACATTTCAGAGGACATCAAGTGCTTTAGAAGCAAAACAGTGATGTTAGGCCACGACATTTAGAGCATTTTCTAAGAGCTGTATTATAATTAAATAGAAGTTAAAAAAAGAGGGGGTGGGGATATAGAGTAAGGAGACCTGAGGGAAAGCAGGCCGTGGTGACCTGGCCAGGCATTCTCCCTCCTCATCTGTCTTCCCATCACTACAGTGAGGTAACACACCTGAATTGTGTGTCTCATGGGTTTTTACAGGAGTCAGAGAAGACAGCAGACTTTAAGCGTATGTACGTATGTGTGTGTGTGTGTATGTGTCCATGCTTTATGTACAGTTAGCATATACTTACATATCATACAGACAGCCATACTGTGTCTCTGAAAGCGTTCGGTTTCTGACTACTATACTCATAAGATCTCAAGTCTATAGGTATGTTCAAAACTATTAATAACACATAGAAGGTGAGGACAAGAGGATTGTGAGTTTGAGGCCAGCCTGGGATACACAGTGAAACACTGTCTCAAAACAAAATAAAACAAAATGCTGCAGTAAAGTGACTTTAATTCTAAGCATCACTGTAATCCATTCCTAGGCAACTGATGGTGGTGGTGGTGGTAGTTGTGGTGATGATGATGGTGATGTACAAACATCCTGATTAAAAGAGCTAGAAAGGGACAGAAGTTTGACACCGTCTATAATAAGTGTTCTTTTCCTCTTCTGCCGTATCCCATTCTACCCAAACCCATCTCCATGGTTCCTTCCATGGTTACAGTGATGTTTTCACCCCTTCATTACTCATATTGCAGACCTTGCTGTTGGACACACTTGCATGTTGCACACTGATTCCAGTGTGAGTCTTCATCTTCTCAGTAATGCCACTCTGCACATGCCCAGTGGCGACAGAGTCTATGTCTTGCCTCCATATCCAGGGCCACGTTCACCAGTGATGAGGAATCTGCTCTTCCTGGGGAGGTCTGTGACCTGAGCTCTGTTAAGGGAAGGGGATGGTAACAAGGCCCTGTAGATCCTGTGACACTTACCACTTAATCTTCCTGAAAGATGTGTGTGATCGTACCTTTTAGGCCTGTGCCTCAGAAAGCTCAGAACAAGACCTTAATTCAGGCCAGTGCCATTTCTAACTAAAGTTAAAATCTTTTTGGAGTCTTATCTAAATAACAGTATATCCGGTCCACTGAACTATATATTTTTTTTATTTAATTCAGAGTTAGTCTGTGCACTGTCCAAATACAGTTTCCACCTATACATAAACCATAAATAATACTACAGATGTATAAGTTATGTAGGACCACCAGCTCACCAGTAATTACTAAAAAATGGACACTAGCTGCACGTACTGTGTGCCAGGCATTATAGTATGCAGTTTCAATAAATTACTACCCAACCCTCACTGTAACCGTAAATTACCATCATCACTTACATAAAGATACCAGAGCTCGTAGCTGTCATAGAATTTGTCCTCACCGGTCAGTCAAGGAAGGGCAGGTGCTGAATCTGAAGCCACATCTGCCTGTTTCCAAAGCTGTGCTCTTTTGATGGCCTGCTGTTCCCGCCACATTTCTGATCCCAGAATGGCTATCGGGGGAACCTAAATGACATCCTTTGATTGACCGTTTCTCACTTTGGAACACCATTACATATTGCTTGCGACAGATAGGGCCGGCGGACTTTTTAATCTTATCTTTTAGTCCAATTTATGTAATGCTTTAGAAAATTATTCTCTGATTAAACAACTAGGCCAAAGTGATGTGTTGCCAAGCTGCGCTGGGTGAACGTCGTGAAAGCTTGTCTTCACCGGGCTGTTCTATCAGAATACAAAGCAAAGATTCAGGCGTCGAGGAAGAAACTGTGTGTCCACATGGGTGTCCTTCAGAATAGCGGCAGGCCCTGCCTCATACCCAAGTCCCATTCCCACACACCCCTTCCCTTTGGTGTCTGCTGGCAGGGGCTCAGCTTCCTTCCTGTCACTGAAGTTTTCCTCCGAGACGGTGCGGTGCGCCCACCGTGTGGTAGTAGGGCCAGTGAGAAACGCTTTCCTTCATGAGTTGAGGTTCTTGTGGAGCCCTTGCCCTTTGTGTCCGCCCTGTAGCGTTTGCCTGCTCTGACGTCTGGTGAGGGAGCCCTTCTCGTGACTGCCAATGCTCACGTTCACATTGGTTCTTCTACAGTGTGATTGGACTCCCTGGAGAAGAAGACTGGCCTAGGGATGTTGCCCTTCCCAGGCAGGCTTTTCATTCCAAATCTGCCCAACCCATCGAGAAGTTTGTGACAGACATTGACGAACTAGGCAAAGACCTACTTCTGGTAAGTTCCTGGGATGCAGTTGGCACGTGCCCATGGAGCCCATATGACAAACAGCATCACATGCCTCTACCACGTGGTGTGGGAGGCTGTGCTCTTGCTGTGGAGTTTGTTTCTGGCTAGTGGTTTTTGATCCTGAGATGCCATTCTAATCTAAGACCATGTTTGATTGCGCACTTGGAGGCAGCTTTACTGGACTCTGGATTGCTTGGGCATAGCTTCTTGACAAGTTAATAGGTTTCCCTGTTTTAAAGTTTCATGCTGCTTGAAGCAACGTGCTAGTCACATTTCTGCAAATGCTTTTCCCTGCAAAGGAACCAAGTAACAACACTCTTAGTTATTGATTTATTTAATAAGTATTTAGTGTTCCATGCAATATATAAAATATCCCACTGAGAATAAGATTCCTAGGGCTGTAGAGGTATTGCATTTCTTAAGACGATGTGCTGCCTTTGCAGAGGACCCAAATTCAGTCCCCAGCATCCGTATCCAGCAGCTTACAGCAGCCTGTAACTCTGGCTTCCGGTGACTCTCTTCCAGCCCCCACAGGCATCTGCACAGAGACACACATATAGTCATGCTTAAAATGAAATCTTTTTTTAAAAACATGAAAGAAGCACTTTGTATTTTGAAACCCAAACTTTTAATTCTTGGTGTCGTGTATTTATGTCCTTCCCTGGGGACACAGAAGGTCCTTCTCACTACGCTAGTCTCAGAGTCAGAGCCCAGTCAGTAATAACCTCCTGAATCACACTGTGGGTCCAAAGCTGACCTTCTCTGTCTATCTCATTCTGCCGCCGAGGTCAGGAGGGCAGCAGTTCCGTGGGACATGTTTTTCTCAGGGAAGTAGGTAGATGGAAACATGATATCCTCTAAGGCCTAGGCCAGCTACATGGCCAAGGGCAACTTGAATAAGGTGAGAATGTTCCTCCCAGACTACCGAAGTGCTCAGCCACTGAAGAAGTCGAATTCTAGTAGGTAATGTTAAGTCAATTATTCTGTAATCAGATTCTTTTTGCAGAAGCGGTATTTATTGTTTGTGGTATTTGATTTAGTTCATTCTCATGCTGGTGACTTACAGCCAGAACTGTTAGAGAATTTTAGCCACCCCTTCCAAGACTTCTCCTCTCCAAAGGTCTAATGTACAAGCACATTATCTACCTTGATACGTTTCAGATCAAATGTTTCCTTTATTGCAGAAATGCTTGACATTTAATCCAGCTAAAAGAATATCCGCCTATGGCGCTCTGAATCACCCGTACTTCCAAGATCTGGATCGGTACAAGGACAACCTGCATTCCCACCTGTCATCCAGCCAGAGCACCTCAGAGCTGAACACAGCCTGAGGTTCTCCAGGGATGGCATGAGCTAATCATCTGAACACACTGGTGGCTGACGGGTCCCCTGAGCAAGCCTTGCGGAGCCGTTGACGATTGCTGGCTACAGGCCTTCCAGCTTCTGGACGGGTCCATGCTTCACCAAGGAAACCACCTACTCTGCTGTTCAGAAATCAATGCAAGAGTGATTGCAGCTTTATGTTCGTTCACTTGTCTGTCTGTCTGTCTCAAGAACCTGGAAAACTTCCAGAAGAGAAGCTGCTGACCAATTGTGCTGCCATTTCGTTTTCTAACCTTGAATGCTGCCAGTGTAGGGTGGTAATCCAGACCCAGCTGAGTTATGGTGTAATCTCCCTGTAGCTGCTGGAGCTGCTTTGGTACTTGTGAGTGTGTGTGTGAGAGAGAGAGAGAGATCCCTGATCTCAAAAAGTGTTACTTTTTGTAGGTAATAAGAATAGTTGAATTGTAGAGACTAGAGGTGACCGATAGGAACAAAGACCCTTTTAAGTGAAAGGTGATACCAATGGCGTCTTCTCTAGTTACCAAGGTGAACCTATGTCCTCAGCATTTCCTTCCTGCCCAAAAGCTTCTGCTAGCAATAAACAGTACAGTTTTAGACACCATAAAAATGAGAACGCAAAGGGGAGTATCTTTTAAGAGATATCTTTTAAGAGACTATTTTTAAGCATGCATTCTTCTGTTTACTCTTTGGAAAGCTGAATTTTACTTGTCCTAAATCCTATATATAGCACAGTACATAATTGTCTCTTTTGGGAAAGACCCTGTAAACATTTTATGACTTGCCGTAGATTTAGGAGGTGAGTGTACCTCAAATAGGTTTTAAAGATAGAGAAAGACTCTATTTTCTGGTTTGAAATATTGATATTTCCTTTGCTTTCTTGTTATTTTGTTCTTTGTTGTAGGGAGTGGCTTCCTTCTCGGGTTTGGAGCTGCTTCTGAACAGAGGCAAGAATGCTACTCATTTCTCTCCTCCTGCCCTGAACTGTCCACGGCACCTTTGCCAGTTTGCCACATTCTGCCTTGTTAGCAGAGTTCCCCCTTTCTTGTCACCAGCACTTCTAATCAGACACCTACCATTGCCTAACTAATGACAGGTTACCTGGCCCACCACCCCCACACCCCACCTGCTGGCTGAATGCTTTCACTGAATGCTTTGAAAATGGCTTCCTTATGGCATACGGCTTCAATTCTACAACCCTTAACGGGATGACCTACACCTGCTTTGCACAGTCTTCCCATCTACTGTCACTGAGATCACCTAGGCAGCGTAGACTACTTGTTCTGGGTGTCACCAGCACATAGAGTACTATCAACTGTCACTTGGTGTTTTACATTTTTGTAGGGTATATTGTCAGTGTAATGTCTGAGGTGTGTCTTCTCCTTTTGAGAGGTAACTGTTTACCTTCTAACAGGATCTCTCTGACCATCCCCAGGATGTGTTTTTTTGTTTTTGTTTTTGTTTTCTCATGCCTTTGTGCACAGCCCTGCTTTCTGCAGAGCCAGCCTGGCCTGGGCATTATGAAAAACTGTACCTTGCTATTCTGTCTTGGTCCTTTATATACCATGCCATCTTTGCCTTATCCATGGCATCGTGCTAAGGCAGCACTAACTAAAAGTGTAAAATGCAGCTTTGGGAAAGGTTAGCTGTGTTTTCACTCCTGTGTGAAGTACACATAGCTGAAAACTAGATCATGTTTCAGTGTAGAACTTTGAATGAACGGCTGCAGTTTCACACAGTAGGACAGGCTTCAGGTGGTGTTTCTGTGTTATGGAGCCTTACTGAATTTTTAGGTGAATAAAGCCTGTGTTTGTGTAGTATGGCGGGGAGTTAGTTGCCTTTCCTGAGGGCCTGGGAGGTGGGGGGAGTCATTCTTTCTTAATAACGTTTATTACATTCTTCTGATTCAGTATCTTGGGAAACAGGATTTTTGTTTTCAAAAGCTAGGGTGTGAGAATGCTCATCACTTCATCATTACAGCGCTAGGGTCTGTTGTCGGCACTGCCACAGCTTGAGACAGAATCAGCCCGGAGCCTCTGCAACAAGGCCTGCTCTAGGCCTCACACACACATTGCCTTTAAACAAGATACGAAATACAGACTTTTTTGCTGGGGCCTAGAAATCAAACATGAAACTCACTACATCGTGGCCTACTCCATGTTGGATTAGCATCCGTGTGATAAAGTTAAAATAATTTTGAGGGTTTTGCTTTCGCAGAAAAAAAAAAGGTTTTTTGATTTTACTTTCACAGAAAAAAAAAAAGGTTTTTTGGTTTGCCGTCCCCCACCCCCATAGCTTTGCTCAAGAAAAATACAGCTATCCTAAACTGGAATCTTTCTGTATTCTTTAGAGTTTTTAAGTCTAGAGTTTAATTTCATTTTTGTCATGTGTTTTGGGATTATTTTTAAGTAGTTTTGGTTTGGGTTTTTTTTTTGGGGGGGGGTTGTTTTGTGTATGTGTTTGTTGTTTGTTTTTTGTTTTGTTTTGTTTTGTTTTAGTTTTTCAAGACAGGGTTTCTCTGTGCATCCCTGGCTGTCCTGGAACTCACCCTGTAGACCAGGTTGGCCTCAAACTCAAGAGATTCACCTGCCCCCGTCCCCCGTGTGCTTGGATTACAGGCATGAGCAGTCACCACCCACCACCAGCACCACCCCAGCTTTGAGTAGCATTTTTAAATCCCAAACATTTTGGCATTAGAAACCTGGCATATCATGCCAGGCAGGTGCAGAAAGGGGACGCCGGGCTCTCAAGACTGTGGTTTCCCATGTCTTTGTCTCATCACTGCTGTCCAGGGTTTGCTTCCAGAGGCCCTGACTGGAGTTGGAACAACCGCTTGTGGGGGGGGGGGGGGGAGGCTCGTCCAACTAGTCCCCACCAGCTCACAGACTCCCATGTGGAGAGGATTTCTAAGCTCCCAGCCTGAGAAACCCAGTCCCTGAGCACCTGCAAGCACCCAGTGGGCCGGGGCCTCCCACACTGTCCCTCTTTAAAGAAGACAGGCACTCAAGCATCAGAGGAACTGGTCCATCAGCTTGGGGCCGCCTCTGCCCCCAGCTTCTCAGGACTTTCTCGAAGGACCCACTCACTGACCAGTCAACTCGATTTAGCCCCAGGTGATTGGCTAAAAACAGCTCAGAGGCTCACTTCCAAACAGGCCCTCCACGTGGTCCTTTTGAGTGAAAAGTGACAATTTTAGGATGCACCAGCTGTTGCTCTCTCAAAAGACTGTGCTCGCCTTTGAATAGAGAGGTGTGCAGTTGGCTCTGGGACGGGGTGCTAGCCAACTTGTTTGAGAAAGTCAATAGTAGCAAACTTTGTGAACTTTTAAGTATGCCCTGAACTTGTTTCTTTTAAATAACCATAGCTGCTTCTCTCAAAAGCTGTCATTACTAAAGTCAGTTGCAGTCACTCCCACCATGGCAAGTTAAATCATGTAAGCTTTCTAACGTCATAGCTGTAGTACATCTTCTGTCCAAAGAACTGCTCTTCTAGAGAGAACCTGACTTTTTTCCTTCCCCCTCTGTGTAACCCTGACTGTCCTGGAACTCACTTTGTAGACCAGGCTGGCCTTGAACTCACAGAGATCCACTTGCTAGGACTAAAGGCATGCACCACCATGACCAGCTGACTACAGCTGGCTATTTTTTATAAGCACAGGACTGGGTTCACCTCTTCTTAAAGCACACTTCTGTTGCATAGTAGGGTCCAGGAGAGAATCACATTCTAAGTCCCCAGGCCATTGTGCCTGCTAGTGTTAGCACATATTGATGGCCCTAGGAAGAAGGCATGCTTCAAATCATGACAGGAAAAGAAAAATGTTGTATGATTTCTGAGTATTTAAAAATCATAAAAGAGTAGGAGCAAACACAATTTCCAAAGGTCCTTTTAAATTTTATATGCATTTTTAACAATATACTTTTGCCTTTCAGAGTATTCTAGGGAAAAAAAAAAATTTTAAGTCATTCAGCATTTATGGACTGGTTATGTCAAAATACACAAATTTTGTGGAGATGCGTAGAATCATCAGTATTCCCTTCCTCGTCTCATGAGAAGAAAGCGGCTAAACTCAGTATGTATACATGCCCACGAATATTCACTGTAAAAAGTAAAAATTTTAAAGGCACTTGCCTCTCATGCAGCTGAGAATGCAAATCTTATAAGCCTTCTCCAAAATTCCTTTATCCTGTGCCCCTCACATCTATAAAAGAAACATACCGCATCATTAGGAAGATGTTCATGCACAGTGGGAAAGCCTTATGTTACTGAAGCCTGGTGCTAGGCTTGGTAATGTGGTCCCTCAAATGCATAAGGACATAACACCGTCAGCCCCTACCAGCTTCCTTTCTGTGCGGGAGGTCAGTATAGTCACCCAGGCCAAGCTGGCGGCCCCAGCCTAGGCCTGCGTATCTCAAGCGTGTCTAACTTGGTTTTGGTTTTGTTGTTGGATTTTTAAGGAAATAAGCCAGAAGTATTCTTTTGCCTTCCTGTCTTCTGAAAGAGAGGAATCCTATTTTTAACTTTTTCTGAATTTGCTCTTTTGAATTTTTCTAATCAAGTTGCCTTTTCTGGATGTTTTCTGTGAGCTAGTGGACTTCGCCAGGATAGTCACAAGTCTGTGGTCTGGCTCTCTGGCTCCTAAGAAAAAAAGCCGCCTGAGTATAAATGCAGTCTTTTCCTCATGTATCTACCAAAATATTATTACAGCAATTCCAGGTTAAAGTGGGGAAAGAAGGTAGTGTGGAGCTGCTTTGGTTTGGTTTGGTTTGGTTTGGTTTGGTTTGGTTTGGTTTGGTTTGGTTTGGTTTGGTTTGGGGCAGAAGTGCCCCAGAGTTTGTGTGGGGTTCTGCTGTTGTTGTATCCCGTAGCTTTCACAAGGTGGCGCTTTCAGAGAAAACTTTGATCGAGTTTTAACTCTGACCAAGGCTGAAGAGGTTCTCTAGAGACATTACTTCTGTTTTTCTGCACATCTTTAACTGTCTCCTCTGTTTCTTCATCATGTTTCTTGGGATAATTAACAGTCTTCATAATAGTTTACTGCTTACATACATACTGCTTTTTACTAGGCTCTGAGTGACTGTAAACCATGCTTGAGAGTGGCATTTAAGCAAATAAAGAATGCCTTTACACTTGAGAATGCCTTTACACACTTTTGGTGTGCCCAAATTACCTGCAGTTCTAGGATACCCATGCACTTCCCTGAAGCCAGCCCACATCTATGAACAGGAGAGGTTTAGGCCCCAGCCAGAGCTCTCTCTCACACCCCGTGTCTGCTGCTTTCATTCCTTGATCCCTTGTGACCTTTTGACACTGATTTATCTCTGAACTCAAGTGAACAAGATAAGTAGTGCATCCGTAATCAAGTATGCAGAGCATTTTCTTTAAAAACGTCAGTGCTCTGCAAATAATGAAAGAACCAGTAGTGTTTACACTCACACAAACCACAAATGGAAACTCCTAAATTTGGGGTCTATCTGTATGAACACAACACCCTCACTGAATCACAGATCTCAGGTTAAGCCCCTCAGCAAAAGGCCGAGTCCCCCCACCCTTCACCCCACCCCCGGGTCTACTCTCTGCCATCCCGAGCCAGGCCCAGCGGGATGCTGTGGGAAAGCCAGGGCCCTGCTGCATTCAGCAACTTCTGTTGTGCCCTCTCCGGAAGCAGGGTGCTCTAGAGGCACGCGGCTGTCTCCCAAGTGACAATAACTACAACACAGTTTGCTCACTGGCTCTGGTGTGCACAAGATGGAAGCTGCTCTGCAAACTGCCAGATGTCTCACACTCAGAGTTGTTCTGGTGTTTTGTTTTGTTTTGGTCTTGGCTTTTTTTGTATTTTTTTAAGATGTATACTTGCAGAAGAAGTTTTTATTCTTCTGTTTTCTATCCTGATTCCTGATACCTATGTGGTGACAAAAAAAAAAAAAAAAAAACCTCATGAAAATGTTTCATTTTGAAAATTTTTTCTGCTTCAAATGGCAAAAGTATGCAATTCTTCACTTTCTAAATTTCTACTTTTCTTTAGTGAGTAAATTATTCCTTGAACAGAGAGAGGATTTTCCTTGAACAGAAAGAAGGCTTTTTATGTGAATTGTTAGGTCACACAAATAATGCCATTAAACTGTCAAATGTAGGGTTTTGGTTTTGGCTTTTAGGGGGCACTTTGACTGCCAGGAATTATGTCTAGCCCTGTAATTTCTAACTCAGGCAAGGTTCTGGCCAGATTCTGGTTGTGAGCTAAAGTTAGGGGGACCCTATACTCCTACTTGAAGTTTTCTTTAGTTCTATGAAATACAGTAACATGTATTAGCCAGCAATGTTTCTGTGGTCACTAGCATCTCTGAGTTTGACCTTAAGTCTCTGAATGGTAAAGTATAGATCCTACCAGTAATCCATTTCTTGATATCACAACCCCCAATCATGTGTCTTTCCACTTTCCACTATATGTAACAATGCATTCATGTCTATTTCAGTGCTTACTTTTATTCATTATTTGCCTATGAACAGTAATTGATGTATTACTACATGGAATTGATAGCATACTAGGAACAGCACTTAGCAAATGGGGAATTTTTTTTGTCAAGTTCCACATTTACATAAATTATTGCTATTATTATTCATGTATGTTATTTATTGATATACCACACCAGTCCTGTGAAAGTGCAACTAAAGGCAGATATGACTTAGAGTTAACGTTCATAATCATGGTCTTGATGGAGTCCAGGAAACAGAAATTACAGTGCTACCCCAAATAAGCTGTGTAAGCTTTTAACATGATAACTAGATTTCAGTTGGTTAGGTGTAGTGCTTTGAGTATCTAGGTGTCTTGTTCTGCTAAAAGAGGCAAAGCAATGGGATTTGTAGCTGTTGATTAATTATAGCAGATACTAAGGTAGCATGCAGAGCTTGCTTTAGTTTCAGGACTGCCAGGTGGCCACCCAGGCAAAGCAGGCATGTAGGTGCTGCCTCCTGTCTGGTTCTGGGAGAAGAGCTTCAAGCAATGTAGTGCCCTCGTAGGTGTCCTATGCAGCAGTGGAAGCGAGTGGTGCCATGGTGAAGGGAGCAGTGTGCGGGCTGTTCTGTGGGCACGGAACTGGCGGCTTCTGCCGTGAGGCTTCCTTGCCGTGTTTTCAGACGTCAGGCAACTTTGCTGTATACGGAAGCAGCCCGTCCTAGTAATGAAAACTGGGAATCCCCCATCACCCTAAAGCCAGTTGCATTTCTGCTGTTCCTGGTCTGAGCTGAAGGTCAGTGGTCAAGTGTTTGGTGTAGAAGGGCAGTGTGTGTGTTGGGGCGCAGAGCCACGTCCCAGAGTGCATGTTGGCAGTAGGGACTGTGACAGGGTTGTCCTTTCTAGATGTGTAGAAGTATGTTTTGACTCTGAGGTGTGTTTTGTTTCTGTTTCCCCATAGGGGCTAGTTAAAACTTGCTTCTAGAAGCTTCAGCAAAGCTGTGGTCCACAGTAAGCTGCTTTTTGTTTGACTTATCCTTAGAATAGAAAATATTTAAAGGTGAAAAGAAATCTTCATTTGGACATTGGACTAGTGGTTTTCTGGACTGAAGTCACAGTCCTAGAACTACAGAGGTCACACCCATCACATACTAAGCTAGGTTGTGTAAGCTAGCCCCAGGAGTCCAGTGTCCCCTCGCTGTACAGCCCACCCCTGCATCCCTCCCTCCCTCCCTCCCTTCCCAAAGGTGCTCCCTGACACCAGCCTGGCCTGTCCTGTTGGTGCTCCCCACCTCCTCAGCTGAGATTTGGGCATCAAGCACATGATGAGAAATGCTTCCAGCACCAAGCATGCTTGCCTAGGCCTGGCCACCGCCCCCACTTTGCCTAATGCTGGGCACAGAATGTACTGGTGATATCAGAAAGAAACACCCTCTGGCATATTTCTGTGCATCCTGATCTTTAAACCCAGTCATTATGCAGAATGTTACCTGTTGGCTGTAATCCAGGTTTGAAAAAACAACAACATTCCAGGCTGCTGTATCTGTCCATCTGCTGGCCCTGTTTTTACTGCGTCTCTTCATACTTGAAGGTCATTCTGCTATTTTGATTTCACGGTGCAGACATCGGAGTGCATGTTCTCTTAAGGTGCAAAATTACTCTCATTCCGTTTGCGCATACTGCTACAAAATGCTCTGTTTTGGTGCTTTGGGCTCAGCAGGTCAAAAGCAGCACTGTGGGAAATGGCTGCCTTCCCACAGTCGTCAAAGCGTGTGGGCAGGAGTCTCGGTAGTGGTGTTGCTTCTGCTCTTCTCTGTGCCCGCTAGATGGAGTTATCAGTCTGGCCTGCCAGGTCCACATGGGACCTTTCTCTGAATGGTCTGTGAACCCTGTGCTGTACTCAAGAGTGAGTGTGGCATGTCCACTCTGGCAGCCCTACCTATCCGGGTTACCAGCCGTCAGGAAAACAACCTCGGTGCTTATAGCAGACAAGAGTGGATAGGCCAAGCAAACCTGTGTTGCTCCACACAGAAAACCCTGAGGAAAAGCATGAAAGGCTATCTCTAAGGTCGCCCTTCAAAGCCCTGAGCTGAAGGCTTTTGTTTCCTTCCCTTGAAGCAGATACTGGTCAGTTTATCCAAGCCCTTCCCACTTACAGAAATAGAGAGTAGAGGCGTGTGCTGTGTCTGTGTCATCCAAAGACCAAAACTTCTAGCAGTGGGGTATTTCATAGAAGTCCGTTTTTAAAACTAGCTCAGGTAAGGGCTGACTCCAGGCTTTCTGCAAACATCTTAACATGACCTTCCCTGGAGAGAGAGCTACAGTGTCATTTTGTGTCAGGGGGCGAGAGATGAAACTGGCAGGAAATTAAATGGGTTACAGATCAATACTCCTATGGAAACTGGATGTCTTACTGGGTGCTAGAATGCAAATTTAGGTATTTATTGTCTGGTAATGGAATTCATTGCTTTTTCAAAACCATTGTTCAGATGTCACTATCCATTGTACTCAACTTTTGTGCCTGCCAAATTGGTTGAAACAAAACCAGAAAATGGTTTGTTCATTTGTCATACCTTTTGTATTTCTTACAATAAAAATGTGGTAGCAGATAAAAACAGCAGTTTCCGACCCCTTCCTCAGAGATGGACTGCCCTGCCAGCTGTGGATCGTACTCCAGTGAACGCACTGCGGTAACATATGGAACGAATTAGCATCCCATGTTACGGCTTTCTAAACAAGAGGGTTATCAACAAGAATACATTGTAAATAGGAGCAGCTCACTGAGCTTGCAACTCTTTCAACAGATGCCTGGTAGGCCACCACACCAAATGCTTTAGATAGAAAAATAAATAAAATGGAGGCCGCACGTAAGAGAGAGGCTACTGTGAAAAGATTTGTGTCACCAAACTGGTAAGGTAGACACGAGCAAAGGTGTCATAGAAACAGAGCTTGCTGGGCCGAAGGGGTGACACAGTGGATAAGAGCACTTGTTATGCATTCATGGGGCAACAAATTCAAACTTCCAGCATCCACATTAAAAAAAAAAAAAGCTCCGTGTGGCTGCTTGCACCCCACCCGTCACCCCAGCCTTGGCGGGCGGAAGGCAGGTAGATCTGTCTTTGGTGAGCGGCCAGCCTAAGTGGAACAGGTGAGCTCTGGTTCAGCAAGAGACCTTGTCTCGTATGAATAGGGCACAGAGGGAGCCAGCGCCCTCCTCTGGTGCACACATACACACCCAATGTGGGTGAACTGCACGCGCGTGGTTGGCACGGAAGTCCGAGGACCTGAGTTTGGATCTCTTGTGCCCACATAAAAATCCAGGCGATGTCCCCCACATCTGTAATTCCACTGCTGAGAGGGCAAAGACGGACCCTGCCCTGGAACTCGAAAGGCCGAACCGTCTGGTCAGTTGGTGAGCCAAGTTCAGTGAGAGACCCTGACTCCAAAAGGGAGGGTGGGGAGCAAAAGCAGAGGATTTCACCTTCCACAGGCCGGTACACTGGAACAACAACAAAAAAAGTGCAGAAGTGAGGCTTGACCACACGCCGAGACCAAGATTGGCAGTCCCAGGAAGGACTGTGAGCAAGCCCAGGCCCACTGAGATCCCTACTTTGTGCCCTCTGGAGTTCAGCCAAGTGTCTGCTAGTTTTCCATTGGAAAACCAGGAGAGGAGGTAAGTCCCAGAAGGGTCGTGTTTATTAAGAACAGTTCTCAGCTTCGATCACCCACCGTGGATATTTCTCTCACAGCTGTAAAGTTAAGTGCAGTTTTATGGCCCAGACAAAATAAAGGCAAGGCCCAGTGGTTGTAGAATTCACAGAGAATTCTGCAGGTCTGCAAACCTGAAATTCACAAAATACTGCTATGTATTTCACATACGCTCTTGTACCTGTTTTTTCTGTTGTTTTTGGTTTGTTTTTTTTTACTTTTTAAAACTACCTATGACGAACTGATTGCATGACCCCCTAGTAGGGCGTGAATTGATCAGCAGAGTGAGTATGTAGGACAGAGCCAGGAAGTGAGGTCAGTTGGTACAAAGGAGTTTGCTTATTTTCACTTGGCTGTACACTTACTAGAAGCAAGTTAATAGATTAGTTGAGACACTACACAGTGAGGCAAAAATGGCCCATAGTTGCCGATGCACAGCCCCTCTGTTGTGCAGTGTTGGGTGTGTTTTCACCTCAAGAATCACCTGGAAGCTTGCATTTAGGATGTACCTTTAATGGTTTTTGTTTTTTTTTTTTTATCTGAGACAGGGTTCCTTTGTGCAACCCTGGCTGTCCTGGACTTGCTTGGTTGAGAAGGTTGAAATTACGGACAAGCACAACCACGCCCAGCTGAATTTTAAATTTCTAAAGGCAGTCAGTACTCCCGACGGATACTATAAAGCCGAGATTTTAATTGAAATTGAAATTTAAGCAGGGTGTGGTGGCACACACCCGTAAACCCAGCACTTGGGAAGGATAACTCTTGAATTCGAGGCCAACCTGGTCTACAAACTGAGTCCAGGACAGCCAGGGCTGCACAAAGAAACTGCCTCCAGGTCGGGAGCCGTGACTCCAGTGGCCTGCTTTGATATTTAAATCTCGGCGGAGAGATGGGTTTTGGGAGGCCTTTACTAATGGCAGAGAACTCGCAAGTCCATCTCCTTTTGTTTGTGACAGCAGGTGGGATAGATAGCTTGTGAGGATCACACTCTTCCTCAGACTCCTCGTGGAAATTAACCATTGTTCTGAGATATTTCTACTCTGGCTTAGAAACTCTACAATAAAAAGACAGGCGGACAATTACTGCAGAAGAAGGCTGACTCTTGTGTAAACAGGACACAAATAAGCAACTAGATACAATGTGCGATGGGAGGAGCCAGAGGACAGGAAAGAGGGGAGGAGCTATAGAACAGGAAGGGGCGAGGAGGAGGAGGAGCTCCAGGAGAAAGCATGAGGAGAAAGCACACAAGGAGGGCAGAGCTGGAGGAGAGAGCTTAGAGGATGTGGAACATGAACCAGACCTAAGATTTCACAAAAAGGAAGTATAATGTGGGAAATCTAAATGCTAGGAAACAGAGGGCTGGAGGCAGAGACTTGAGACTTGCTGCTTGCACTGCTTGCTGCAGCAGCCTGCCTTTTGCTGTGGCTGTCGAGTCTGGACCTTTAAAAAAGTTTCCTGTGTGCTGTGTGTTTATTTAAATAATATTAATCCTCACTCCCGACTCAAGAACCGTTTGACTCTGCTGGCTGGCCCCGGCACCTCCAAAAAACAACAACAACAAAAATGCCTAGGTGGTGGTACAACGCGTTTAATCCCAGCACTTGAGAGGCAGAGACAGATTTATTTTTTCTTTACAGTTGATTCATTATATATCCCGATCAAAGCCCCCTCACTCAAATCCCCCTAGTCCCGTCTTCCCCCCATCCCCTTCCCCTAGTCCACTGAAAGGGGGAGTTCTCCACTATTGCCATCTGCCCATAGCTTGTTAAATCTCATCAGGGCTGCCTGGATCCTCTTCCTCCGTGGCAAGGCTACATCATCAGGGGTGAGTGATCAAAGAGCAGTAGGCTGAGTTCATGAATTTGCTCCCCTCAGAGATCCACGTGGAGATTGAGCTGCCAATTGGCCACATCTGAGCAGGCGGTCTAGGTCTTCCATGCATGATCCTCCTTTGGTACATCAGACTCTGCAGGACCCCTGAGCTCAGATCTTAGCTTAGACCCCTGAGCTTAGCTTTGTTTGTCTCCCTGTGGGGTGCCTGTCCCCTCTATTCCCACCCCTCTCTTCCATAAGACTATCACAGAGGGCTTCTGAAAGACTACCCAGTAGGGTATCAAACATGCTGAGACTCATAGCCAAACTTTTGAAAGAAGGGGGAGATAGAAAGACCTGGAGGGAACAGGAGCTCCATGAGGAGAGCAACAGAACCAAAAATCTGGGCACAAGGGTCTTTTCTGAGACTGATACTCCAAACAAGGACCATGTGTGGAGATAACTTAGAAGCCTTGCACAGAAATAGCCCATGGCAGTTCAGTATCCAAGAGGTTTCCCCAATATTAGGAACAGGGACTATCTCTGACATGAACTCATGGGCTGACTCTTTGATTACCTCCACCTGATGGGGGAGCAGCATTACCAGTCCACAGAGGGAGACAAAGAAGCCAGTCCTGATGAGACCTGATAAACTAGGGTCAGGTAGAAGGGGAGGAGGACCTTCCCTAGCAGTGGACTTGGAAAGGGGCAAGGAGGGGATGAAGGAGGGAGGGTGGGATTGGGAGAGAATGAGGGAGGGGGCTACACCTGGGATACAAAGTAAATAACCTGTGATTAATATAAAAAAATAAAAATTTTTTACAAAAGGACAGAAAACAGACACATTATTTGTCAAAATATTCTAAGAATGGACTATAGCCCAGATGATACATTGTTCCCCTCTGAAACATGTTGGACTCGGCATGCACAGTCCACATAGCAAATCAAAACAACCCTGAGGTTTCAACTTACATTCCTCAGAATGGCTAAGATCAAAAACTCTAGTGACAACACATGCTGGAGAGGAGGTAGAGAAAGGGGAACCCTCCTCCATTGCTGGTGGGAGTGCAAACTTGTACAACCACTTTGGAAATCAATCTGGCACTTTCTCAGAAAATTGGGAATAGTATGCCTCCAGCTATACCACTCCTGGGCATATACCCAAAGGATGCTCCATCATTCAATAAGGACATTTGCTCAACTATGTTCATAGCAGCTTTATTTGTAATAGCCAGAATCTGGAAACAACCTAGATGTCTCTTAATGGGGAATGGATACAGAAATTGTGGTACATCTACACAGAGGAATACTACTCAGCTATTAAGAACAAGGAAATCATGAAATTTGCAAGGAAATGGATGGAACTAGAAGAGATCATCCTGAGTGAGCTAACCAGGAAACATAAAGACAGGCATGGTACATACTCACTTATAAGCGAATATTAGCCATATAATATAGGACAGCCATCTACAGACCTAAAGAAGCTAAACACTAAGGAGGAATCTAAGGAGGATGCTTAAATCTCATTCAGAATGGCAAACAGGATAGACACCAGAAGCAGTGGAAGAGAGGAAACAGGATGGGAGCTCACTATAGAGAGCCCTCTGAAACCCATAAGGGTTTCTTGAGTTTGAGGCCAGCCTGGTGTACACAGTAAGTTCCAAGACATACAAGGCTACACAGAGAAACCCTGTCTCAAAAGTTTTTGAAACTTTGTGACGAAGCACCTTTTCACAAATGTGTTAGCAATGATATCTGATTGAACTAAACCGTTTTCTTCAAAACTGTACAAATAGATCCTTTTCTTACCACTGCTATATGTTATTAGGACTGAATGCTATCAATAAGTCCCTGCAACCAGGCTGTGGTGGCACACACCTTTGATGCCAGCACTGGAGAGGCAGAGGCAGGCTGATGTCTGTGAGTTCAAAGCCAGCCAGATTTACATAGCTCCAGCCAGCCATGGGTACACAGTGAAACTCTCATCTCAAAAAAATAAGCTCATTGTGGCTGGAGAAATGGCTCAACAATCAAGAGCATTTTAAAAAGTAAACGGGCCCTGAAGAGTGACTCAGCAATTAAGGACAACTTGCTG